GCACCTGAGCACTTTTACTCTATATTAACTGCGAGGTTTCTTCAAAACCCCTCTTTGCGCCTTGACTGGATTATTATTTATCACATCATCAGACTAAGTAATAATTGACCTCAGATCTGCATACCTCCCCGAGGAGCCTGTAACCATTCTGAGATTTGATAATGCGGTGTTAGTAAGTCTGTCAGATTTCGCAAATAATTTCAAGGCTCTATCCTTTATGTATTTTTTGAAGGGATCAATCTTGAGGTCCCTAAGGATGTCATTCGTCCTAATATACCAAGGAACTTTGAAAAGTCTTCTCAGAGCCTGGCTTTGTGCAATTTCTAATTGGTGAATAGTAGTGTTTGAAGCTTTGCTAAACGCTACACAACCATATATATAGTATAAATAGTTTGAAGTTTCAAAAAAAAACTATTTATTAAAAGGAATGTGTTTTCCATCTAATCATCTTCCTATACAAGGAATATGTTACAGACGATTATCCAAGGCATAAATGAGAAATTCTTTTAAATGTTAAAGAATTATCTTATACCCCACAACTATACTGGTTGTAATCTATTTTCACAATTTAATAAAGATATTTTTGCAAAATTATTTAATAATGTAATATTTAATAATACTACATATTCTAATACATATAATATAGTATTATTTATTAATGTATGATTAATGTAATATATAATAAATAATATAATTTATCATTCAAGTTATGAGGTAATAAGTCTTTCAAATATTATAGAATTATCTTTCCCTTACCCTATAACTGCATTGGTTACACTCTATTTTCATCCTTTCAATCCTTTCATATATTATAGAATTATCTTTCCCTTACGCTACAACTACATTGGTTACACTCTATTTTCATTAAAAATTGTTAGGCTACCCTAAATAGTACTATCTAATCTCAGAGCAGTCACTTGCCGTACGGGGCGGTATGCAGATCATAGATCAGTCAACGAATAAACAGTGAAGCTTGTGAGGAATACATAAATTAGTCAAAGAGAAGGGAGGGACTCTGTTAGAACACGCTAGTTAAAAATAAAAGTGCCCAGTATCACTAACTCGCAAAAACCTCAACAGAAGACTCTATTTTCGCAACTAAATAGAATTATTTTTACAAAAACATTTAAATACAAAATATCTCTTCATATTTAAAAAGAAAGGTTGTAATATTTAAATGTAAAGTAAAATATAAATATAAAATGTTTTTCAATTTATGAAAATAATATTTTATGCATTACGTTTGCTTCTTCTATTATTTTTTAATTACTTAATATGATTAAATTTAATATTTTAATACGTGTATATCACGTATATTTTCGTAACAAAAATGCTTAAGCAAAATTTATTTTTCTCTTAAAGCATATAAATTTTATTTCAGAAATCCTTAAGGAATTAATTTGAATCCATTTGAAACAAATCAAATCAACTCAAATACGACTTAAGTAACTCAAAAAGTAAATTATGGTAAAAGTTTAAAATGGAAAAAGAAATAATAAAATAAAATAATTCGAGAGAAGGACACGTCCAAGTAACAAGTTAAATACAAACATTCCCAGACTCTATGACAGAACAGTTTTAGAGAAGAAATAAAGTAAAATAAACTGTATACCATTTTAATGCGTATCCTTTTCGTAAGGTTACAGCACGTAAACATCCTTAAGCAGTACAAGTGATTTTACATTATAAACGTTTAAAGGAAAACACTAAGCACAAATAAATAAACATAGAAACTAAAGCAACAGAGCAAGGAAACAAAAGCAAAAAGTAAAAATACAACAAAATGAAGTAAAGTAAAATACTAGAAAAAAAAATAAAAAAAAAATAAAAGAAAAATGGTAAAGTAAGCAAAGTAAATAAAATGTCCTTTTCATTTTACAATGCGCACGTATGAGCGTGTGGCAAAAAGGATAAACATCGCAATAAAAATAAAAATGTCAACGCAAATAACATTCGTAAGCAAAATCCTGAGGCTTTTCTGCCGAAGCCGTAGCAACAGTTCAAGCGCGACTACTGCATTTCGACATGCGACAAATAAAAAATTCAAGCTGATATGAAAAGGATAACCAAAACTCAATTACAAAAATCACAGTATCGCAAAATAAATAAATTAAAGATAAAATCGGCGAAATTGTATGCTAAAATTACAGAGACACTGCATAGTGGTAAAATGGAAATGAATTGGTCTATGAGTCGGTTTGCTTTTATTTATTTTGCTTGTCAATTTCGTTTACTTTCGCATTTCAATAAAAGTGGAAAAAAATATATATATAAGATGTGAACAAGTCAAAACCTCTGTAAATAGTAGTTGCTGGATATACTCCATTTACTATATGAGTGGATACATTTAGGGGAAAATATCACTGTGTCATGCAAGACAACAAATCGTTCTAATTCTGAACTGTCAATTTGTTGATTGCGTTGGTATTTTTAATTCATATGACATAGAAAACCATTACTGGAAGCATTGTTTCACTTTAAATAATCTGAAAAGTTGTTCTTCCAACGAAAAAATTTTGAAGTGTTTCGCTTGAATTATTTAAAGAATATATAATTCTATTGATTGAGACGATAAATAGTTTTACAGAAATTTATTAAAAATAACCCTAAAAGTAGACTATATTTTTTGGTTTATTACCACACATGCGAAAGCCCTGTTAAAGGTCAGCTTAAATCAGCATTTAGGCATAACTCCACTTAATTTTTTTAAAATATTAAAAATAAAACCGCATATTTGTTAAAAACCGTGTATGGAAGAGAGATGGGTGGTTCTGTGAGCCCCTGGAAACAATACGCAAGGTCTAATTGCATTTAACTTGAAAAGTGTCAGTGCAAGCCTTTTCGTCCTTAATCCAAGTGGCCTCACAGCCTCCCTGCCACCCACTGGATAATGAACTAATAGAACGTACAGTAAGTTCTATCGCAAGAAGTTTAAATAAGGGTTATGTATAGGGTTTGACAGCCATCACGTATATTTAGACGCCAGTGATGGATGTAAGGATGTTTTGGAATTCGAAAACGACCTACATATATTTTGAATTTCGAGAAGTCCAAATATACAGGGGTGTGACTACATTAATATTTGAAGTTTTTCGGCTTAATGAGTTAAAGATTCTCGTGGAAATACGTTATGGCATAACTCATGGTTTCAGTTCACTTATACTAAGGCGTGAAAGAATCTAGTTTAGAACAGTTTAGGCTTTAACCTACAAAATTGAGATCTTTAAAGTGATGCTACTGCAATTGATTATCTTTGATCTTTATATTAAGATAGATAAGGTTCATGCAAATCATCATTTCGATCATCATGCTCAGATTCTTCTCAATTTTTTGTCTTTCAGACTTTCTTACATACAATGATCTACTGCAGTCTGAATATTCTAGTTTTGTCCTACATATAATAATTTTTATCCACATATTATTAGTTTTATCTACTTATTATCATTAAGTTATATGTAAAACTTCACGCACATTAGCTAAGCTATCAAAGAAATACCAGTCACGGCAATCATAACTAATTAGACGTTTAATTGACAAATAACAAAAACGGTCTTACAAAGTAACATCCAAACTGCTATTGTGCCTTGACAAGCTGAACATACTTGGCTTGAACAATCAGGTGCATTTAATATGAATTCCGGAACATGCTGGAATCCAAGGTAATGAAATAGTAGCAAATTCACAAGAAGAAAAAATGATAGACGGGAAAAGTGATAGACCCAGAACCTTTCAGCGTTCTAGGCAAAAAAACTCTATCACTTCTTATGAATGGCGTAGAGGAAAAGGAAGGAAACTATATTGGCAAGAACTACCAAGACTATCACAGTCCAAAATGCTTTTGGGGACTCACAACCTAAAACGCTGCGAGGATTGCATAGAACTAACAAAGAATAATCTAAAACTTATTACCGGAATACTAAGCGGTCTTTGCAGTTTGAATAATCATCTAACAGAATTAAGAATTCAATTCAACTCAGACTGAAGATACTGCAAAGAAGAGAGAGAAACCGCATGTCATATGTTAGGTGAAAGCCAGGCACTGTTACACAAGCGGAAGAAACACCTGGGATGGAATTTCATGGAGCATAAGGATAAAAGGTTAGAAAATAAAGTTTCTGTACTGTCTTTTACCTATTAAAGAAATCGGATTTGGAGAAACACTCTAAACCGACTAACGGGCACAATAGATCTTTTAGTTCGCAGTTTACTATCATTTTACTAATAATAATAATAACAAAAGCGGTGACGCATAAGCCGATTCATTCATTATTTAATAATTTGCTATATAATTTATTATTTCATATCTATGATCTTATTATTTTATTTTCTTATATTACTGCAATAAATGGAACCCATTTATATATCGAAATGTTTATATACGAATTTTATAGTTTTCTACTTAAAAGCTTACCGAAATCAGCTTTAAGGAAATTTTTTGGTGAAATATAAAATTTTGCATATCAAATCTCTCAGTACGAAAACCCATAGTGATGGAGACATAAAATATAATGATATCCTTATACCAGAAATAAACGAGGCATGGTGACTAAGAAGCACACATGTCAGCATCCATACATACAAATGTCTATGCAAATAAGCAAAACGCAAATATGAAAAAAGTGGAAATCGCATAAAAAGATACGAAAAATTGCGCTCAAGGATAAAAGTTTTTGCGAAGAAGAAGAAATGAAATGGGTGCTTTAAACGTTTCACATATATTATAGACATTGGCCATACCATTTTAATATTTCTTCCTTAATATCCTACTTGTTTTTTGTTCTTCCAGCAGAGGTTAATTGCATTTGGTTGGGTTTCAAATTTTTTTTGATTTTATTTTAAAATTTATTTACATTTTAAATAAAAAATTTATCTTAAAAAACATATTTTTTCCTGTTTGATATGCAAAAATTCGGTTCTATACTTGCAGGTCCTTTACGTGTGGCTTAAGGCAAAATGGCGAAATGGCGAAATGTGTGCGACGTTGGAAACTTTGAACTTACGTGGTGGTATTTCCGTTGTACGATGTGCACCTTGCATGGAAGCTTTACAGCATTTGGAACTGCAAAAATACAAAGAGCGGAGAAAAAAAATTTTAATTAAAAAATAGTTTTAAAATTTAAGTAAGAAAATATTTAAAGTTTAATTATAGGAATAATTTGTAAACTAAATAAGTACGCAGACAAATTTATTTGCATACATTTTATTAACAAATTTTCACTTCTTTAGCATTTAGCATTCAGAATTTGCTATTTGCTATTTGGTATTTGGTATTTGGAATTTGCATTCATTTTTCATTTGCATCAGCGCCAATTCGGTATGACAAATCAATTTTGCCAAAAATGTGCAAATTTATTCTTAATGTATTCATGTATGCAACGTGTGACAGCTGTTGAGTTCGGTGTGGAAATGTGAAACAGCAAACGCTTGTTACACGTTCCGTTGCCGTCCTCAACAACACGTCCGATAACAACGTAAATGACACACAAGAAAAGCACACAGAACGATTTTAATCAATCGATAACTCACTTCAAGGCACCATTGACCAATTGACCTGAGCAGAAGCACACAAAGAGCACAATTTCAGCTGAAACGTCACAAAAATGCAAGCAATGCAAGAAAGGACCAATGCCAGGACTACACTGACTACACTGACTACACCGACTACATTGACAACAACAGTAACGAATTGCAAGGAATTCGGAATGACAGCTGCGCTGCTTCGATAACAACAGCATTTCATTGTGTACAAACAACAGCGCACAATCAACGCCGACACCGACAACAAAAGTATGATGAAAAGGTTAAGGCAGATTGTTAATTATTGGAGCAGAATTAATTAGACAGAATTTTTTGCTGAAAGCACAAAAAGATACAAGATAGAAGGTGAAAACGCTTTTAAATTATTATTGTTTCTGAAACACTATGTTAGACTTAAGTTGAACTAGTTAAGCTAATTGAGTTGAATACATATCTGTTTTATCAAGCAGCAGTAAATATGTATAGTTTATATTAAGAATTTAGTTTCTATTATCAAAATGGACATTAAAAATTAATTTAAAATGGATTTATTATAAAACAAAATCTCAATAGAAGAATTCATTTAACTTTTCAATTGCACCCGAGCGAATCGTGGAGAATATGACTTTCTACCTATTATGTTCCCAGATAAGGTTCTTCACATAAGAAGCACGAATAATATGCTAAGAGACCTTAGAATAGATCCGGTCAAAAAATATATAAGGAACAGACCCTAGAAGCTATAATGCGCCCTCAGAGTAATCACTAACCGCACATTGCGGTACGCAGATCTTAGATCAGTCATTGAATAATCACGATGCTTATAAGAAATACACAAATTAGTTAATGATATGGGTGGGACTCTGCAGAAACCCCTACCCAGAAGTTATCAAAGAGTAAAAGTGCCCATATGCACTAACCCGGAAAAGGCTCAACATTAGACAAGAAAGCATAATAAATCATGATTTTATTGACTGATATAATAACAGGTACCTTTCTACTGCAGTACATGTCTACCGACACTTTTAGAAAAAACACCAGAATACCAGTTGTGTCTGTATTCAAACTTGTCAGGAAGCAGGATCAAGCTAATGACAAACAACTGATCTGTTTCTGAACTATTTTATTAAAGTTGCATTAAAGTCCGAGTAGAATGGTGGCCTTTTGCTAGCAAACAACTGAAAAATTAAACTTTCTGAAGAAACAAGAGGCATAGTTTCTTTCCAAATAAGAGGAGTTGCACGTTTCACCCCTTTAAAACTTCTCTTCGCTTCACATCGCTTTTTACCGTCTAAGCTGCCGATAAGACAGCAAGTTAAATAAGTGGCAATCAGACTCAATGTTAAGACAACCACTGGTTCAGAACCGATATAGGGCAAGAAATCATTTCAAATCAGAATCTGCCAGTTCCTATTTGTGATGAGTACACTTGTGCTACATCAAAGCTCAAACAAAAGCTTAGCTCTCTTATACCAACTAGAGGTGACTGGTACAGTAAACTCTACTCTCGCCTTATATATTCATGCCGCTGGTTTTAAACTAGTCATTGATGTCGGCTGTGCTATACTCGCAAAAAATTAGTGCTTTGCATTAAGGTAGGACTACCAAAGTATTGTAGCAGGCACCTTAAGCAGAAGTGTAGCAAGACTTAGAAAGAAAATAACACTGAGCACAAGATTCGCAATTTATATATATATATCACAACCTTCTCAGACAGCCAACCTATTGTTAAATCTATAGTAAACGTTTTAGCTTCATCTTTAATGGTATAAAAATATCAGATTTTTCTCAACTTGATTCGGTTGGTGCGACTTATCAGTGTCGCACTAATAGATGCATAGGCGCATATAGTGTAACTATGGGAATTACAACCTCGTCAAAGCAGGCAGAGTTCTCTTCTTTCTGTTGTTTTTGAAAATTCTCTCACCGAGCTTCCGTAGCCCACTCGCAGCGCCTATACTCAATGCAGATACGTTGCTTCTTGAAATTCACTACCCGGACATTAGTAGCTCAATTGCAACGACTAAGCTGCAAATACGTTGTTTTCTGAAATTCATTTCCCGGACATCTGTAATCCATTTGCAATAGCTTAACAAACCAACAAATAAAAATGTTTAGAAATAAATTAAAAAAGTCTGGGTAGATGAAGATTCTTGTCAGACTACAAAACTTACAAAAATATTTGGAAATAAATTAAAATAAAACAAGACTGGTAAACCGTACCACTCTAGCATTCAACTAAGATGGAACCTACTCAGTTATGATCTGCTATTATAAACAACATGGACCACAAACAATTGACTGCATCGAACTTAACTAGTAATATGCAATTCTATTTCGGCACTTTAAAGCCATTTGTGTTTTGTTGGAGTATACGCCGTATTTACACAGAATACCTCTTGAAATGCAGTTGTGATTGAATTTTTAACAAAAAAATGCTATTTTGAAACTGTTCAACAGTTTCATATTTACATGTTTTGCTATAACGTAACTTCTATTGTTTTAAGAAAAATCCATTTGCGATGAAATGAAAGCATTTTGGAAGCATAGAAACAGTACAAAATACATGTATCGGCTTCTAAAATCCTAACTAGATTTACAAAAAACAAAAAAAAATTTTTTGTGTTCATGAAAAAGCATGTTCACTGTATTTATATCTACAAAAGGAGCTATAAAATAATAATCAAACGAACTGTTTTCTTATTTACAAAACAGGAAACTAACTAACACTACATTACTCAATCTTTCTGAATGGAATAATGTGTAAGAGCACTAAGCTCTTATTCACAGCAGTACCTTGCTTCTCAAAGAAATTTAATATTAGTTGCATTTTTTATTGCACTTGTTGTGTAAAATTGATGTTGAGTAATGCAATCAATAACACTTGCAGATATTGCTACGAGGCTAGAATAAGCTGTTGCATAGAAATTGCTACTTAATAGTCAAACAAAAGCATAAAGTGCAAACAACAGAAGAGGCACTCCGAACGATTCTGTTAAGCATTAAGAATGGAAAAAGTATATTGCACTTTTTTCAAGACAATTGATACATGAAACAAAGGTTGAATGATACTGTTATTTTCAATTATACAAAGCATAACATATTGTGCAATGAATGTGAAAAAATTCAAGAGGTAATTATTGATATATAACATGAAGAAGGTACTAAAACTTTAACGAAACTATCTTCAAAATATTATCATATTATATTTTAATTTATTTAAAATGTATAATAATTATATTTAACGATGCTATGTCCTGTCATAAATACGACTCGTAAAATTTATGCTTTAATTGTTTTGTCACTCTTCCTTAAACCAAACAGTGACACCCCAAAAGTATGCTTTACAAATTGTTTGCATGTTCTCTGAGTGGGTTGCCTTCGCAAATCTAAACATTAAAACACAAATAACAACACAAACAGATAACAGCGCACGCATCCAATATTTATATGCGTACATGCAGGCGAGTACGTGCGTGCAATAATAATGTTTGTATAAGTGTGCGAGACCCATGCGGGCACAGCATGGTCTGAGCGGTATCAGTATTACGAACTTCTATCTCAACTTTTTTTATTTGTTTAATTTTAAGCAATTTTAGTAGTTTAGCACGGCGCCTTCCTCGAAAGACGATAAAGTTATAAAAGGATCAAAGACGTAATCTATAATAAAATGTTTTTAGTTTTGTAAAAATACTAGGATATAACATAATATTTGTTAAGGTTGGTTTTATGCATAAAGATTAATATATATAGATCTAAAAAGTTATAGTGTCTTTAGTATTTTGAAGTTATTACTTAACAGATAGCAGCTATCTAAAACAAATAGTTATTTTAGGTCAGTTAGCTAATGAGCACTGGCTCTGAGCTTCAAATTTGGCAGAGTGTAAGTTAAGCTCTTGACACCTGCAGTCTTAAAAAATTATTTACGAATTATTAAAAATAAAAAATAATTTCAAAATCACTAATGATGGCTATTTATCAATACTGAACAGAGGTGTATGATCAGCCAAAAGTTTAATCAATGAAAAATAATCAAAAATGTTTATTGTTGCAATTCCACTACAGATCGATACAAACCTCTCTGTTGAAAACAATAGTATATTTTAAGAATATAAATTCTTTCGTTAAAAAATTGACATTAAATATCGATTTAACATAATAATAATTACATATAAAACTAATACATCACAACTCCTCAGCACTATTTACTAAATTATGTAAGTAAGTCATGCATACCACTGTATGTAGATTAGGTTATGTCTTCGCTCGAAACCATCAATTATTTGCCCATTCTGATACTGTTTAAAGAAAATTCAGAGGCCTAAAAATCATCTTGAATTTTTAGAGAAGCTTAAAAAGCATTCTAGTGGGTTGTCTTGGAGATGAGCAAGATTCTCAAAAAAGGGCGTTACACATACGTTAGGCAATAAGAAATCAGATGTGTGACATTTTCATCATCCTTCCCACAACTGCGACAGGAATAATTAGAAAGAATTAGAAAAACCGAATCGGTTCTAGTAAAGAACGGAAGCAAAGAATGAAATTAGAA